TCAACGCGCCTATCGAAGAAAGCAGGGAACTAATAAAATGGGTCTTTCTGTCCGTCACACTTATTTGGGACACAATAACTCTCCTTCTAATTGAACTAGAATGTTCAACCTTGGTGTAGGTGTTTATTAGGCGAATGCCTTGATGGAGTGCGAAGACAAGAATTTTCTGCTTAGGGTAAGGAGAGATAAGCAATTTGATTGGTTGAGACTTTGGAACATGATAACTTTGATTCTATTCAGGTGAAAGCGATCAAACGCCGAGTACAGGGGATTGATAACTTTGGTTATAATGAAGTGAGAGCGATGAAACTCTGAGTATAGATTTATTATATCATTACCTTGACTAAGTTCGATGATGAGAATTGTCTGCTTAGGCTAAGTTGCGATAAGCAATTTGATTGGTCGAGACTTTGGAATATAACAACTCTGCTTTTAATTGGGTAGAATGTTTAAACTTGATGTTCATTAGGTGAATGTCTTGACTGAGTTAAATGATTAACATTTCCCGTTAAGCAGAGGTACGAAATTTCATTTGTCAATGCTCTGGGATAAGATAACTTTGATTCTAACTGATGGCGAGATATCAAACATAGTGTATAGTTTCACTACCAGGTACTGCAAAACCTTGACTGAGTTTGAACGTGAACATTTTGTATTTATACTAAGTATAGATAATCAGTTTGATTGCTCAAAACTTTTGAAAAAGATAAATGTGCAATTAATCAATATGTGTTATCTATTTATTTAGGCGGTGGACATCAGCCTCACTGTTGGCTTGTTTGAATTCTTTGTAACCCTTGTAATTTTTCATTTGTTATTCAAATGAAGGCAGTGGTACAGTAATCACGTCATGGCACGACCACAAAACGGTCATGTGTTGACACAGCATCTTCTGTGAATAGATGTCGTATTGATTCGACATGAGATGGTAAAGCTTTTATACAGAGATCTAATATGGAATTCCATATAAAGATTATTGTCAGATTAAGATTTCTAACAGGTATTTTAAAGGTGATTGCCGATTGTTCAATATTAAGATGGTTAATTTTACACATTTTCATGCGGACGTATATTGTCGCCGCTCCTGTCCGACCTTGATGGAAACACTGGGTCAATATAAAGGACTTTGCAATGGTTGAATTGCTGTCAAAAAATGATGTATCAGTACGCCATAATGTTCAGTAAAAGTGAAATCTACAGCAAAGAACTTTATTTATCTATTTGTGCATGTAAGAAGGGATTGGGTGATAAATAAAATCTCCTACTCGTCTTTTTTGATATCAAAAAATATCAACACTCGTTGATAAAGTAAAAAAACTCGACAGAGCCTCGTTTTTTGTGTTGATATTTTTGATATCTAAAAAGAGTGGTAGGAGATTCTCTATATGTACCTCATATATGAGTGGTTGATAATGCATGTTATACGTAATCAAGCGTTTCAATTCGGTATGTGATCTTTAAATAGACATTATATGATATACAATATATATATATATGAAATAGACATTAATTTACACGATGAGAGGGAGGGAGGGGGGTGTCTTTAGCAGTGGGAGTAAACCGGAGGACCCGGAGAAAACCCACGAAGTTGGACAGGCGACTCTACATTTAAATAAGTTTAATAACAATGGTGAAAACACTCCCCGATTCTACTATCTCCTCTGTTTTATCATCTTGCAATTGTCATATATTGCGACCTATATAGACTGATCGCTGATCAATGAAAATCAAAATGAAAAGTAAACCAGGAAGCGATAATACTCATTCAAACGTTTGCGTCGTCACACCTTACTCAGGTAAGACATTTTAATCATGGCCCTGTATCATACGAATTTATACCTGTTTAATCACCAATCGTGTGGGGGTCTGGTGAAATATATTTTTACATCTAGTCACGGCAACTTTGAATAATAAATTACTTCCATGTGTGTGGTTTCGGTTACATGTAAGGGAGCTAAATCCATTGACACGCTTCGTTGCTCAGCATAAAAAAGTTGTTTTTTAAGGCAGTGTGAAGTTAGCTCGACATTCGTTTTCGTTATTCGTGAAATTTGCGATATACAGATTACAATCTAAAAAAGCAAACATAATTATTTCATCAAAGCAATTTCATAATAAAAATTTGGAAATCATAAATGGGGATGTCTGTGCAGTTGATTCTTCTTGCTTCTCGACATTGGTTAATAAGGGAAAACAAGCAGATTATTATTATTATTATTATTATTATTAGCGGATGGTTATTTATCGAGTGAACTTCGTGATTAAGCCTTGTGTTTGAAATATATGTCCTTATTCCTGATGTAAATAACGTTAATATTCACACCATGTATTAACCTGATATTATTACGATTGTTCATTTCAAAAGAACCCAGGAATAAATTTATTTTAGACCCGTGTGGGTTTGTTCATATAGGGGCCTTAATGCAGATACTATTCAGAACTCAAATGTACAAAGCTGATAAACGTAAAAGAGATTAAAACCTTTGTGTAATTGTTCATGGTGGCATAAGATACAATCTGTTAATAGTGGGTGCACGGGGATCGCACTACACACAAACAATAACAAGACCAGTCTAAAGACAGGACTCCATGTACACAAGACACAACAAACGCACACATCGGAAGTGAATGTATCCGGAGTCTAGCCGTAAGCGCTATATAGTCTCGGGCCTAAAATGACACAGGCTTCACGCAAAATGGAAGAACAGACTAACACACTCGGGAAACCTTGACATACTTCAGTGCCTTCATCTAGCCTCTGTAGCTGCAACATTTGTAGACATGCTAATTCTTATTTACGGCTGCAATTCGTCGGTAGGCAGACGAAGTGACTTATCTTCATACCGTACCTATTGACGATAAGTCACTTCGTCTGCCTACCGACGAATTGATACACTATTCGAGGCATTGGACAAGTAAAATTAGGTTCAATTGCAAATTTTTCAACAGAAAATTCTCATCTTCGAACTCCGTCAAGGCATTCACCTAATAAACACCTAAGTGTGAATATTCTAGCTCAATTAGAATGAGAGTTATTGTGTGTTCCAAAGTCTCGACCAATCAAATTTCTTATCGCTCTGTTTCCCCGGAGCAGAAAATGCTCATTATTGAACTTAGTCAAGGTATTGATGTAATAAAAATATACACCAAATTTCATCACTCTCACTTAATTAGAACTAAAATTACCCTGTCCCAAAGGATCAACCAATCAAATTGCTTATCTCTTTTTACCCTAAGCATTGACCTAATAAACCCCTACACCAAGTGTGAACATTCTAGTTCAATTAGAAGGAGAGTTATTGTCTCTTTGACGGACAGACAGGCCAACAGACAGACGGACGAACAGACATACCCATTTTAATAGTTCCCTACTTTCTTCGAAAATTCCAAAGAATCACTTTATGGTTTGCAATCTAGATCACTTGCTTCAGTCTCATCTATACAAACGTTTGACTTTTCTAACTTGTACACTAAACTTCCCCACAGTAAATTAAAAGCTCGGCTAAAAGACATTATTCACGGAGTCTTTTCATCTAAATCGGGCACTGTTAGATATGAATATCTAGTTGTTAATTACAACCATAGTAATTGCAAAAATAAATGCACCGCCAACAAGGTAATTCAGATGTTGGACTTTTAATTGATAATATCTTTGTTGAATTTGAGGGGGAAATATATCAGCAAGTGGTAGACATCCCCATGGACAACAAATGTGCATCTTTGCTTGCTGATTTGTATCTAATAAATATGCTATTTTTTCTTAAACTTATACTTTGAATGTGTGAATTTGCTTTTTATGATGTTTAGAAATGACTTTTATGTGGCGTGTACTGTTATTTTTTTGTGTGTGCCACCATTTAATATATGTGAAGGCAGTGTTCCACTTGTGAGAATTGTGTTACTTGGTTATTTATTTAGTTATTTTAATATATGTGAAGTCAGTGTTCCACTTGTGAGAATTGTGTTACTTAGTTATTTACTTTAGTTAATTTATGTAGCTGCTTTATATTGTTGTTTCTGATGTAAATAAATCATATATTTACGAAACTCATCTCTGTTATCACTAAACTAGTGATAATATAATAAGTGATTTTGGTTATGACAAGTGTTTTGTTAAAATAAGCCCCAATTATCGCTTGGTTTTTTTATGGTCGCAGATCTCCTTCTTCCATTGTCTTAATTATCACATTACAATTCAAAACTTCTTTGTCACAACTTGAACTCGACAATGAATTAGTAGAAATTCTGTTTGTTAATTGAGACATCAGTCATTATGTATACCCAACTTACAAACATTAGGCACTACTAGCTGCCCTGTAATTGAGACAAAAATCTTTAAATTTGTCCAACACTACTAGCGGCCATGTAATTGTATGCAATAATTAGTAGTATACGTTTCCAGGATTAGCAGAATTCGACGAAGGGAGGTCCCACGCTTTTCCAAATAACTTATTTAAATCAACCTTTCTAAAATATCATATTTGACGTTAATCAACAAACGTTTCCAGCAATGCCGGAAACTGATGAGGGCCCTCCCCCCCCCCCCCCACACACACACACCCGACTAGAAGAAGATGAACGTGTGTTTCAAACACACATGAGAAAAGCCAAGGACGATGACGTCTGTTTAAAGACTAAAAGACTACAGTACATGTACAAAGGACTTATGACATCGTTAAATTATTATACACCTTGTCTGGAGACTACCCCCCACCACCTCTTCCATAGATCTAGAGACTGTAGGCCTCATCCTGTCAATTCGGCACTAGGTAAATCCGGCACTAGTTTCTGATATTAAAGATAGAAGAACTCTCATTAAATCTGAAAGCCTATTCTCGACCACAATAAAGTTGTGCATGGGTTATAATATAAGTTCTTCTGATCGCTATAACCTTGTTTTTAAAATGGCTCGGTGTCTTTGATTTGGATCAAATATAATTTCAGTTGGTTTTATTTGTTGATTAGCTTTGCGCGGCTGAAAAAGAATCATGGAACAATAATGTAGTTTATAATTTGTTTTATTCCTGTGTAAACTTGTTTTTACTTTTTAATAATGGTACATTTTCCCCGGTACTCGGTTGGATCACCTCCATTTGGTGGTCCGGGATACTCACATTCTGTACCATTTTCACATCTGTATAAAACCAAACAGAAAACATAATATAAACACGCACGTTATGACTTTGTGTTGAAGATATATGGAAGACGAGTTACCCAATGCTACCACAATACCACCCAATACTACAATATAATGATGCAAAATGGACGTATCATTTGATTTTGTTGAACAATGGAGAGTTATAGATAAATGTATCACAAATAATTGCTTACTTATCAATATCCAAGCGATAACAGTTACGAACTGAAATAAGCATATTTTTAATATTAATAAGCATATTTTTAATATTATTATGATCGACTGTATGTTACATTACCTTGGACTGTACATGCCACAAGATTGTTAATGCTACTAGAGCACATGATACAACTAACAACTTCATACTGAAACAAACGGTATAAATATGTAATACGTAGTTACAATATACGTTTCTAATCTTGGTATTTAATCTACCAACCAATGTTAGTGCTACGAGAGCACATACTATAATAAATATCTTCATACTGAAACAAACGGTATACCTAGTTACAAAATCAGTTACAGTCTTAGTATTTAATCTTCCAACCAATGTTACTGCTTATTATTTCGCACTCAATGTTCCCGAATTATACCCATTACAACAGATTAACACCCGTGTACACATGTTCTATTTTAGTTACCTATATAGTATGTAACAATGGCTACTGTAGACTATTTTAAACCACAGTGTTACTATGTAAATATGTATAACTTCCTTTACTTTGTCCATCTGTATACATTGACATTATTTGAGTGAAAAGTACTTTAAAAATGCTGGAAATCAGTTTGAGTCGGCATACCTTTTATCTCTTCACAGTTAATGATAAAACAAAGTAGTGCAGCTTTACGGTTGTGTCGATATTTATTGATATACATGTATATATATTTAAATAAACTTTAGACAATTGCTGGATCGTTTTAATTAAATTGAATTTAACAATTTATTAGAAATGGTTATAAGTATAGATAGTCACTTACCTGCTTTAAGTTTGACAGACAAATCTTGACTGAGGTAAGTATGATTTATTTTCGGCCTATATATTGTATTGAGGCTGATTTTGACACATTTGTAGGGATGGTCTATTAAATATTAGACCAATTTTATTCCCGTACTGAGCCGGTTAAAACCATTGAATATTCATAAGGTAATCGATTCCATTAGTATAGAATTATATCTCTTATGTATATCCGCTGTATGTATAGAATGGGCGGATTATAAAAAAAAAGGTACTGTTAGTCACTGGTCGATATAACACACCCGGTGGCGTGGAGAGGTTTATTGATTCCTGGAATCAACTCATTGATCGCATAGGGCCTATCTTCGAAGATATTTTAAATTAATGAAATAAACGTTTGTTTACAAAGTACGTAGGGCGACATAAGCAACCAAGTTAATGATAGTTTGCAACTGCAAAGACCTTAATTTAGTTTAACTCATTGATTGGATACCCCCCCCCCCCCCCCTGATATGGCGCACAGGGCGATCGCCACGGAAGAGTTGCTTGTAAAGAGGCAAAACCTTGAATACCACTCGTCCGCAATTATCCAAATGGGTAATGACTTGGATTGTTGTTTTCCGGCTGCCTAATTTGCGAACGATGGACGTTCATTCTAATATTTTGTTGGTCATCGGTTTTCCCAATATGTTTTTCAGTACACCCATTGTATATTATTAGATATATCACATAATTGGATTTACAATTCATATTTGACTTCACATGAAATTTTGTATCTGTAGTGATCTGGATTGAATCGCCCTCGATTTAATATGAGCATAAATGACATCGTGAGTCCCGACACTTGGATACTGAAGGTTTTGAAATATTCGAATCGAATCTGGATTTCGCCAGAATCCTACGTAAATTTGGAGACTGTTTCCAACTGTTTGTCAATTTACTATTTTTCAGAATGTATTTCATTTTCGAACCTTTGATCAGTTCACCCTACTGGCGTAACGTCGGCGTGTTGTTAGTGATATTATCGGAGATATCATTTAAATAAATTAAAAATAGAAAGGACCCACACTACACTTCATGTAAATAATTTGATTTAAACCCTTCGAAAACTACGCATTGTTGTCTATTACTTAAATAATGTTAAATCCATTTATATAACATCTGATTACATAACATCCATATTGTTTTAATTTATACAGTGTGCTATGAGGAAATTTGGCCCGGTCGGCGGCACTATGGCCAACTCTTATATTGAATTCCAACTGCTAAGGGAACTTTTACATACAGGCCAATGTATACACGGGACCTCGTTTTTCGTCCCACCTGAACGACTAGACATCTATTCGTGTCAGGCACTCAGTTCTGCATCACTGAGAAGGGGAAATCATGTCATAAAATCCCGATGAACTTTTTCGGCCCATGCAGGGATTGAACACGCGACCCCCAGGCTAGCGAGCCAACGTCTTTCTCACTTAGTCACCGTGGCTTCTAATTTAAACAGTAACATGTAAAATATTTCGGCATTTACCTGGGATATCGCAGAATGGCGAGGTTAATTGACAGGTCTGCTAAAGAAATGTTAATGATATCTGAGGGTGAAATTCAAGGCCCGTAAACGAATGTCTTTATTTTTGTTCTGTGTTCAACATAAATTCATCGCACCCAAGTCTCTAATCAAATATTTAAAACTAGACGTAAACAAAACAACGGGCTACGGGCATATTTATGTCTGTAAATGCCCAAACGCATTACAAGGTCCGAGAGTCATAGCTTGTTTATACACAAAATTTAAATCGTCGTAAAAGAGCCACACACCATTACGACAGACATGTCTTGCTGTCACCCCTTTGTACGAAATCGTCTATCCCGATAAGTGACGTAATTAGCTTCCATTTTTATATCTTTATATCTTTCGTTGTCAAAGTTTGTGAGTAGTTCAATTTTACAAGAGAGAACTTTTTTAATCATTGGGATTTTTACGGACTATTTTTTATTTTATTTCCTATTTTTATTTTTTATTTCTAATTTTAAAAAAATAATTTCCCATTTCTATTTTTTAATTTTCGAGTTTGTAGAATAATTTGTAATTTTGTAAATTGTTATTTCCTATTTCTGTTTTTAATTTGTAATTTTGTAAAATAATTTGTAATTTTGTAAAATAATTTGTAATTTTGTAAAATAATTTGTAATTTTGTAAAATAATTTGTAATTTTGTAATTTGTAATTTTGTAATTTCTAATTTTGTAATTTCTAATTTTGTAATTTCTAATTTTGTAATTTCTAATTTTGTAATTTCTAATTTTGTAATTTCTAATTTTGTAATTTCTAATTTTGTAATTTCTAATTTTGTAAAATAATTTCTAATTTTGTAAAATAATTTCTAATTTTGAAAATACAGAACCAACATTTACATCTTCCTTAGTAATAGGTCTATACTACTATACCGTAGCCTAAATGAGTAAGACGCTGGTTCGCTAGCCTGATGGTCGCTCTAATTATATTGACAATATACCGAGCTGTTCCGGGTAGACGGACAATATGGAAGTCAACAAAATAAAGTGTCCGAATTCTCATTACCGAAGGTTAGACAGACCACACTTAAGTTACTTTAGGGGGAGGGGGAGGGGGAGGGGGCGGCACATGCAAGAATGGATTTGACGTATAACTGAGCCATGGCATACCATCCTTTAACATTGCGGCTCTTGGCTGCAGTCTGGTCAGAACCCCGCTTAATCTGAGCATGGTGGAAATGGCTAAAACAATCTCCTAAAATATGAACCTCCGTCTTGTTCATCAGAAATTTGTGCCAAAATCCGACACTACTCATCTGTTGTCAGAGGCGGACTGGGCCTCAGACCGCCAGACTTGGAAAAACATATATTTTTTTCAAAATGACTAAAATTCATCTTCGTATCCACTGAAAAAAAAAATCTTAGCGGAAAAACGATCTATATGAGTGAGGTTCATGAATAGTGAATCAAACTAGTTTCGTTTTCTCGTCATGTCACGCATTCTTCACCGCGATGGAAGCCCAACGAAACCAGTTGGTCTGAGGCCACAGAGGTACCCAGTCCGCCCCTGACTAGTTTAATCCGGTTATAAATGCGGAATTATTATATGGTCATAAATGTCCAACTTAGGACTAAAGCCATCGAACAAGGAGGATTGATCACTGGTGCATGTACGTACATTGAGAGGGCACTTTTTTGGAACAGAGGGCACATAGCCACACCCACTCCTTTACCCTGGATGGCAATCTTACCGGATTCGAGTATTATTAACCATTTCCAACTTCTCTTACATAATATTCTAATAACACGGTATGGCAATATAGCAATCATTCATTTCATTTGATTAGATATGAAATATATTATGTGTATTGAAACTTTCATAAATCTATACAATCTGTTGTATATAAGCTACCTCGTTTAGGCTGATAGTTTTTAATTCTACAACTTTATGGAAATTATATGATTTATTATAACTGTATATGCGTAGCCTTTCATTGTGTAAAACAAATTTAATTTTCATAAATCTATACAATCTGCTGTATATAGGCTGCTCTGTTTGAAACGATTTTTTTATTCTATATCTTTATAGAAATTACATGATTTATTATAACTTAATAATTTGTTATATATATGTTGCTTTTCACTGTGTCAAGCAAATTTCTTCTGGGGTAATTGGGTATTACGTTATTCTCGTTTTGAAAATTTTGGGTTAACCAAAATGGCGTTACTGGCTTCTATCGTCATAATGGTAAAATGCCGCCATGCCGTCTCCAGTTCATTAAAGATACCTCTCCGCGTACAAGAGAGAGAGAAATGGGGTTTAACGTCCACTCGACACAAACTAGGTCATTTCGGGACTAACATATGGTTTAATTTTATTTCAATAATTCGCTTGCGCGTAGGGTCTTTAGCAGTGGGAGGAAACCGGAGGACCCGAAGAAAACCCACGAGGTTGGACAGGCGACCCTACTCCTTGTCACGTACAACCGAGGATTCGAAACCACGCCAGTCGACTCAATGACCGACTTTATGATACAGTGCGCGCACGCTAACCATTCAGCCACCCCCACCCCGCCGCGTACAAAATGGGTAATTTTATGATATTTTTGGACTAAAAACATATTCCAACTAATTAATCTATCACAATTTTGCTTCAAATCCTTCTCAAAACATTGTATTCGCGAGGAAATATCCTTGCTATAAACAATCTATTAAAAGAAGTAATGTTTGTCTCACGTGACTTGGCTGACGCGGTACCTAGCAACGGGTGCGAAGCAGGGGGAAAATTCATTGCATATATAAGACTATGTTGTCTTTAATCGCTTTCCATTTATCATAAATATCGAAGCATAATTAAATTCTCGGATTATCGAGTGCAACTCTTGGCGTCACTCGAGCAGACATCCCTAATCGTCGGGTTGCCGGTTAGGGAAACCCTTACATGTTTTTCAGGGAATCCAGTATTTTTCTAGTAAGATTAGATGTTTCTACTTTAAATATATACCAAACTACTTTTGTGGGAAAGTATCTTTAAAGCCTGTCGTAACCACTGATCTATAATAGATCAGTGCTTGTAACAGACGCTTGTACATTCGGCCGACCTCGGCTGCACACCTTTCAAACGCGTTGTCTTTAACTGTGTCTTTGACTATGGAAGGTAAAATCTCATAACGACGCCTTTTTAAGAACTATTTTTTTGTTAAGCGATAAGTTTTCCTAATCAGTAAACCTACGACCCTACCACAATGTCAGGTGGAGAGCTGAGACGCATATCAAGCTACGTCGTACAGGCGAAGTACATGACATGAATCAGTCGAGGTTTGAAATTGTGTTTCAAAAAACCAAATTATAAATTCAAAAAACCAAATTATAAATTGTGTTTCAAAAACCAAATTATAAATTGTGTTTCAAAAAACAAAATTATAAATTATTTTACAAAATGGAAATTAAAATACAAAATATAAAATTATAAGTTCAAAATTATGAATAAAAGTTTAAAATTAAAAATTAATTTACAAAATTAATTTACAAAATTAAACTTACAATATTGTAAATTCAAAATAAAAATTTATTTACAAAATTAAAAATTATTATACCAATCCAAAATTAAAAATAGAAATTATTTTTCAAAATTAAAAGTACAAATACACAGGCAAGTTTTTAATA